AACGTTATTTATACATGTTAAAGGTTCAATCATCTAGTTATCTGATTTCCTAGAACTCCTAGTTTGTTCTAATTAAATGTATTCCTTAAACCTTCCGTGTAGAATTGTTTTTAAGTGATTTCTAAATTGATCTAATCATTTAAATTTCGTTTAAATAGAATCTAAGAACTAAAAGCCCGTTACACACTTTAGAATTCTTTTGGGCTGGTTTTCCCGGTTTTCTTTTTCGTGCAACTTTCGTAAATCATTTCCGATTTATTTATCATTATTGATTTTAATTTTCCGTGATAGTATAAGACTTTTACGGTCGAGTATTTGGAAATTGATACTGGAAAGATTCAAATCTCCCATTTATCAATTCGTATATATACTTGCATCACCATTAATATCAATTAGAGGTTGTACCCATTGAATATTCATTTGTTTTATATTAATTTAATAAATTAACTATTTAGTCCAAAAAAAAAACCAAATATTTACAAATAAAAGCGGATCAAGTTTTGTTCTTTTTGAGGTTATTGTATTTCCAGCTTGACTAAATAATCTCTCATTTGGAATGGACGTTCTAGGTGCACACAAGTATTTAGTGGATAGCTTTGACAAAACAGGAAATCGATTTTTATTATGTTTTCCACCGCAAGAATTGATCATCTTTTCATACCCAACTTGACTTCTTAGAACCATCCTTTACTTCAAAATATGAGCAGAAAAAGACTCCCCCCTTCTCGTGATTGTATTATTACTTTCTCCTATTATAATGACTGAAAGCTCTTCCATTTTAAATGAATGAAAGTGAAATAAATTGGTTTAATTAATTAGAAATGAACAAATTTCATTTCGATTTCATTACACAAGATATTGATGATCAGTTATTCACTGAACATTCACTTTTTAATTTATTATTATATTTGGTCAATCAGTCAATGAAAAAAATCAAATATCAATGAAATGTCATTCATTGGGTGCAAAATGATAATAAAGGAAATCTCCTCCGTCAACAAAATGTGTAGCAATTCCGTTTTCTCATACTAAGATCGCCGCCAGTCAAAGAAACTCGGCATGTTAAAGAAGTTACAACTAAATTGGTTAATGAAAAATCAGGATAATTTTCTAAAGTGAATTAGGCAGTAGTAATGAATTATTGTAATTAAAAATCAGGCATATATATATATATATATATTGATGATAATCATAAAAACAAAAAAAATAGGAATTTAACAATCAACACCCAACATATTTGACATTCATTTAAATAATTTTTTATTATGAAGAGGATCTACAAAAAAAGGACCTTTCATGAACACTCACATGAACTTAAAAAAATAAAAATTTTTTTTCATCAAATCTCTTTCTTGAAGGTAATTTTTTTTATTATTATATATTTTTCAAATAAGAAATGATTACAATAAATATTCGTAAATTATAATGAAGATAATAAAAGATATAACCTCTAAGAAGTGCTCATCTTCAAAGTA